CGCGGGCTGCTCTGTCTGGGCCCGGTGAGGGCGGCGGGACCGGCACGGCCGGGGGTGCCGCTAGAGGGACCCCCGGGATGCGCCCGTGTCCGGGACGTGTCTCCCAGCTGGGGCCTGTCCCCCCCGTTCGGGACGTGTCCTGCAGCTGGGAGCTGTCCCCTGATGTGGGATGTGTGCCCCTCTTTGAGGCCTGACCCTTCCCTGGATGTGTCCCCTATCTGGGACCTGTCCTCTGCTCTGAGACCTAACCCCCCATCTGGGACCTGAGCCCTTACTGGGGATCTGTCCACTGATCTGGGTCCTAAACCCCTATCTGGGACCTGCCCCCTTTCCCCCTTTCAGGGTCTCTCTCCCCAGTCTGTGTCTGTTTCCCCTCTCCCATCTGGGGCCTGTCCCCCCCTTACCCAGGGCTCATCACCCCATCAGGGTATCTTGGACAATCCCCTCTCTCCCTTCATTGGATTCATCCCCCCCACTGGGACCTGGTCCTCCCTCTGGGACCCAAATCTGGGAGCGGGTCCCCTCTTTGGGGCCAGCCCCCCATCTGGTCCTAGTCTCCCCTCTGGTTCCCATCTGCCATTTCAGGCCAAATCCCCCCCAAATCCAGCCCTGCTGCTCCGTATGGGGCTGGGGAGCCTTTTAGCAGGGTCCATATTAAAGCAGAGGAGCCTTTTAGCAGGGTCCACATTAAAGCAGACACCCCTCCCTGTGGGTGCAAGAGCTGATGCCTTAGCAAGCAGGCGTGAATGCAAATGGAAATTGAGGAGGAAACCGGAGCAATAGGGTGCCGGGAGCTCATCCCAGAGCGCCTCAGCCATTAAATGTCTCCTTTTGATCTCCACAAGCCGCGTCGGGCCGGCGTGCTGGTGACGAAGCGGCCCCCCGCGCGGTCCCTTGTGCCTGCAGGTGATAGAGGGGGAGCCCTATTACCACTTCAGGCACCGCGGCACGGCGCAGCGCTCCCTGCGCACGCACGGCGGCTGGAACATGCGCCTGAAGAAGGAGCCGCAGGTAACGGGGGGCGAGCGCCAGGGCTGCCACCAGAGCAGAGACAGGATCATGGGATGGAGAGGCCGCAAGGGCATCAGTGCAGCCCAGCTCGGGCCCCACAGCGGCGACGAGGGGCAGTGCGGGCACCTTCTGCTCCTTTTGAGGTTAAACCCCCGGGTGGGAAGGTGCAAGATGCACCCGGAGGTGCCGGGTGATCCAGGCATGGCCAAGGGGCCGGAGGAGCCCCCTGACGCCCGCGCACTGCCCAGGTGCACTGGTTCGAGCAGCAGACCCTGAAGAAGCGCGTGAAGAGGAGCGTGGCCGTGGTGCCCACGGACCCCTGGTTCCACAAGCAGTGGTACATGGTGAGCTCCTGCCCTCGCCTTCCCCTCCTAATCCCGCTGTCCCCAAGCGGATCGGCCCCCAGCCCGTAAGCAGGGCTAATGCCGGCCGCGCTGACGCGGCGGTGACACAGGGAAGGACACGCCAGGGACGTCCGCACAGGCTCTTTGTTCATCTCTTTTCCAGAACAACGGTGTGAGGCCGGACCTGAACATCCTCGCCGCTTGGGGCAAGGGCTACACGGGCTCGGGGATCGTGCTCTCCGTCCTGGACGACGGCCTGGAGAAAGACCACCCGGACCTGGCTGCTAACTACGTAACTCCAATTACTGCCTTCGGGGCTCAGTAACCAAGGCGGCGGGTGGCACCTTGTCCTGGGTGGCACCTTGCCCTGGGCATTCGGCCTCTCCACGGCTGGAACAAAAGGCTTAGTTTTGTCACAAGGGATCCTCACTGTGACAAGGAGGAGGCGTTAGAACTCCACGTGGTCTGTAAAGGCAACGCTCAAGCCCCCCAGATAGATGTAATTAGACCACGCAAAGCAGTTAAACCTTGTGAGCCCTCGCGTGCTCAGAAAGCAAAGAGAACTGGGGAGTCTTAATCAGTTGCTTATAAAAACACGGTTTTAGTGTTTTAATTCCCCTTTGCTACCTCCACTGCAGGAACTGGGTTAACTCACCCGTACCCCCTGGCATATAGGGCTGTATTTTCTCCGTGAATGTGAGCCCAGGTGCTACGAACCAGCACCATGACGTGCAGTCAAGCCAATACAATGAAATCCGCCTCAAAACATTTCCGAGCAGCCGCCGGCCTCGCTGGGAGGCAACGGGCCGCGGAGGCTGGGCCGAGCGCCAGGGAGGCTGCACCGAGCTGCTCCTCAATGCGGCTCCTCAGGCTCGTGCCGCTTTCTGCAACAGGATCCGCTCGCAAGCTACGACTTCAACAGCAACGACCCCGATCCCCAGCCCCGATACACCGCGTGGAACGAGAACCGGTGAGCTCGTTGGCTCCATGTGCAGACCAACCTCCGCGCCCGGGGCCGGGTATTTCTTATCTCTCTGGGCTGAGGCTGTTCCAGGCTCTTTCGCTCCTCGCTGCGGCTCGATCGCAATCTAACGCTACCCCCCAGGCACGGCACACGTTGTGCTGGGGAAGTGGCGGCTGTAGCCAACAACCGGATCTGCGGAGCAGGCGTTGCATACAACGCTAAAGTTGGAGGTGAGCAATTACCCCTCTTTGCCGGGGTGGGAGTTAGGGATGTGCTCCAAGGCCCCGGAGCACCGCGCGGCTTTGGGTTCCTGTCCGGCTGCACCGCGTTATCCCCGTCCGAAGGCTGCAAAGGCAACTTGGCTTCTGCGTGAGCAGCGCGGCCGCGTTGGCACCGCGATATCCTTGTTGGGGAGGGTTTCTGCCACGCTTGTCCCTGCTCTGCGGGCACCGAGGGGACCTGAGGGAGTCAGAGCTCTGAAAAAACAGGCCCTTGAACCCGAACTTCGTAGCAGCACGATGAAAATGCATCTCAGATCTTGCTTTGTGTGTGTAAAAGCACCAAGAGCTTCTTCCCCTGTGCTGGAGGCGGCTCCGGGCTTGCAGGACACTAGAGGGTGCTGAGCAGGTAGAGCAGAGGGAGCAGCGGCTGCAGGGCTGCGGGTGCCGGAGTTACTGCCCCTTCTGCAGGGGAAAGTTGGGGCAGGTGGCACCGCAGGCTGGGTCCCCCCGTGTGTGGATTGAAAACGGGTTGAAATGGCTCAAAAACTGGGATAACTCGCGGAGCTGCAGCGGGATTCGCAAGGAGCTCGCGGTCCTGCAGGATGAGGCCAAAGACGGACACGGCAGCCGGGGAGCGGAGCCGGGGCCGTGCCGCCCGGCCTGGGGCTCCCATGGGATCCAGCTGGGGCTGTCCCAGGCGTCACTGCCCGGCGGCCCCGCTGTCCTCCGTGCCCCGCAGGCGTGCGGATGCTGGACGGGTTCATCACGGACATCGTGGAGGCGCAGTCCCTGAGCTTCCAGCCGCAGCACATCCACATCTACAGCGCCAGCTGGGGCCCCGAGGACGACGGGAAGACCGTGGACGGGCCGGGGGTGCTCTCCAGGGAGGCCTTCTACAAGGGGGTCACCACCGTAAGCGAGCGGCGTCCCCCGCGTCCCACGCTCCGCACGGGAGGATTCCCAGCTCCCCATCCCTCTTTCCAGGGCCGGGGCGGCCTCGGCTCGCTCTTCGTGTGGGCCTCGGGCAACGGAGGCTTGCACCGCGACGACTGCAACTGCGACGGCTACACCAACAGCATCTACACGCTGTCGGTGGGCAGCGCCTCCGCCAGCGGCCACGTGCCCTGGTACAGCGAGGCCTGCTCCTCCACGCTCACCACCACCTACAGCAGCGGCACCGTGAGCGAGAAGCAGATCGTGAGTCCCCCCCGGCTCCCCTTAATACAGTATCTGCACGGAAGGAGTTATCTGCGTTGAAAGCATGAAAAGAGCTGGAAAACAGGACCCCAGGGAGCGTTTGGCGATGGGATCCTGTCCTGCTGTCAGCCCGTGGCTGCGCTAAGAACCCCCCTGTCCTCCGCAGGTGACCACAGACCTGCACCACCGCTGCACCGACCGGCACTCGGGCACCTCCGCATCGGCCCCCTTGGCTGCCGGAATGATCGCCCTGGCTCTGGAGGCCAAGTAGGTCCCGTCTGGTGGCCGCCCCGTCCCGCAGCCCAGGGCACGGCCGGGACACGGAGCGGAGCTCTCCTGTGTGTTGGGGCTGCCCGTTCTTCCCCGGGAGAGGGGACAGGACGAGATTTGTCCTTTGGCAGTGCCCGTTCCTCCCGTTTTGGCAGCCAGGGAAGTTGTTTTGGTCCAAGCCAGTCCCCAATGCCCCCGCCCAGATAATTATCCAATATCAAGAGTCAGAAGAGCCAAATTCCAGCCTCCAAAGCCAGTCCCAGATAGAGCGCGCTGCCCCAGAGCCCTCCTTGCCTGCAGCCCAGCGCTGACCTGGCGGGACATGCAGCACCTCGTGGTCAGGGCCTCCAAACCGGCCCATCTGCAGGCAGAAGACTGGGCTGTGAACGGGGTGGGACGCAAGGGTGAGTGGATGCTCGGCCGTGGCCACCGCATCGCGCTCCAGCCTCCCCTCCGACATTCGTGGGAGGACACGGGGCTCCCTAAGCTGCTTGCCGGGGACAGGGGACCCCGGTCCTCTCGTGTCCCAGGTTTCACGTTCCTTCTCTGGGGTGGCACCTGCCTTTCAGTGAGCCACCACTATGGCTATGGGCTGCTGGACGCGGGGCTGCTGGTGGAGCTGGCCAAGAAGTGGACGGGAACTCGGCCCCAGCGCAAGTGTTCGGTCAAGGCCCTTCACACCCCCCGGTACGGGGAGAACCCCCCTCCCGGTGTCCCTATGGTTTGGAGGGCAGGATGTCCACGGAGAGGAGCTCCAACCTCTGCCTTGCGCCCCGTAGGGACATAGGCTCCAAGCTCTCCGTCTCCGTGAACGCCTCCTCCTGCTCCGGGAGGACCGAGGGCATCCGCTCGCTGGAGCACGTCCAGGTCCAGCTGTCTCTGAGCTACAGCAGAAGAGGGGACCTGGCGATCGCTCTCAGCAGCCCCATGGGGACCACGTCCACCCTGGTGGCCGTGCGGTGAGGGGGCCCCGCAGGTGGCCACGGGGACGTGCGTTGCAGTGGGAACGTTGCAGCGGGAACGTTGCAGCGCAGGGACTTAGCCTGGGGCAGGGAGGGTCTTCTGAGCCTGTCCCGGCGCCAGGGGACCCGATCCCACAGTGGAATGGCCACTCCTGGCCCCATGGGGGAAAGGGGTCACAGCAATCCGTGCTGCGTCCTGGCACGGTCCCGTTGCATGGGGAGCTCCGGCTGGCCGCGCGGCTCCCCCCAGCCTGGCACTCGTTGCTCTTCCCCTCCAGCCCCTACGACACCAGCCAGGAGGGCTACAAGGACTGGACCTTCATGTCCACCCACTTCTGGGACGAGGACCCCCAGGGCACCTGGACCCTCCTGCTAGAGAACAAGGGTGATGCCGATAACGCAGGTGAGCGCCCAGGGCAGCGACCCCTTCCCGGGGCTCCCGGTCCTTCCTTCCTCTTCCTCTCCTGATCAGCAACTTCTTGCCCTTCTCCTGCTGGGCTCGGGGCTGGCTCCATCCCCCTTTTCCGGCGGGTTTGGGGATGGGCAGGGGCAC